CTCTGCATCAGGCTCTGTGCTGAGCATGCAGCCTGCTTATGATTCTCTCTCTCTGCCCTTTCCCCACTTGCACATGTGCTCTCTCAAGACAAATAAATAGGCATTAAAAAGAAAAAGTCGAGGGGCATCTGGGTGGCTCAGTTGGTTAAGTGTCTAACTTTGGCTCAGGTCATGATCTCACAGTTTGTGAGTTCGAGCCCCATGTCTGGCTCTGTGCTGACAGCTCAGAGTCTGGAGCCTGCTTCAGATTCTGTGTCTCCCGCTCTCTCTGCCCCTCCCCTGCTTGTGCTCTGTCTCTCTCTGTCTCTCGAAAATAAAAAAACATTCAAAATTTTAAAAAGAAGTAAAACTGTCTTTATTCACAGACAACATGAGTATCTGTAGAAATCTGATGGAATATACAAAAAAGGCTACTAGAACTAGTAAATGAATTTATTGGCAAGGTTGTCAGGCTATAAGATCAATATATAAAACTCAATTTGCATTCAATTATATAATGAAAAATCAGAAATAAAAAATACCATTTATAATGCCATCAAAAATATGAAATACTTAGGAAAAAGCCAACAAAAAGATGTGAAAGACCCAAACACTGAAGAGTACAAAATATGGCTGAGAGAAAATTAAAAACCTAAATAAATGGGAGAGATATATCTTGTTCATGGGTCAGAAGACTCATTATTAAGATGCCAATTATTCCCAAATTGATCCATATTAATCCTGACTGAAATTCCAGCATATGTTTTTATAGAAATTGTTAAGATAATTTGAAAATTCATATGGAAATCAAAGGGCCTACAAACCCTGAAAAAGAACAAAATTGGAGGACTAAAAACACCTGATCCTAAGAATTATAAAGCTACAGTAACAAAAAGTATGGTATTGGTATAAAAATAGATCAGTAGAACAGAATGGAAATTCCACAAATAAATCTACAAATATATGGGCAACTGACTTTTGTCAAAGGCACAAAAAGAGAAAAGATGACTTTTCAACAAATGGTAAGAAAAACGAACTTGGATCCATACTTTGCACCATATACAAAAATTACCTAATGGATCATAGGCCTAAACACAAAACCGAAACTATGGAAGTTCTAAAAGAAAAAAGAGGAGGAAAATCATTGTGATCTTGTGTTAGACCAAGATGTCTTAGATATGACACCAAAAACTAAATCCAGAAAAGAACAATTGATAAACCAGACTTCCTCACAATTAAAATTTTCTGCTCTTCTCTAAAGGACACCGCTAAAAGAATGGAAACACAAGCCAAAGACTGGGAGAAAATCCTTGCAAAGCGTAGATCTGGTGAAGGACTTGTATGCAGAATATATAAAGAACTCCCAAAAGTTAGTAATAATAATAATTTTAAAAACTCAAGCAACTCAATGAAAAAAAAAAGGCAAAAGATTTGGATACTTCACCAAAGAAGATATACGAGTGACATATAAGCACATGAGAAGATTCAACATAATTTGTCACTTAGGGATATGTAAATTAAAATCACAGTGTGATGTTATGCACCTGTTAGAATGGCTAAAATTAAAAAGATTACTCACAGCAGGTATTAGGATACGGAGCAACTGGAACTCTCATATACTGGGATGGGAATGAAAAGCGAAATGATCATCTTGGAAGAGCTTCCACGTTTAACTGACACACACCTATCACATGGTCTAGGCACTTTCCTTCTCCACTTATTCACAGCATTCTTTGTAGTAGACCCAAGCTAGAAACAACCCAAACATCCATCAGGAGATAAGCAAATAAATTCTGGTATATCCATACAAAGGAATGATGCTTGGAAATAAAAAAGAATCAACTGCTGACACACGACACCACGGATGTCTCAAAAGACTTCTGCTGAATGAGAAAGATGGGAGAAAAAGCATACTGTATTTATATAGAGCCCTAGGAAATGCAAACTCCTCTATAGTGACCGAAAGTAGATTGGTGTTTTCTTGTGGATGGTTAGAGGCTGTTGGGCAGAATTCCAAACAACATAGGAAACTCAGGTCGATGGATAGACCCAATGGATGGATGGTTCTTTTAAAAGGCAGCTATGGTAGTGGTTAGAAGAACATGTTTGGGAGTTTTCAGCTGAAAAATACTCTGGTACACACCTGCCAGGGGACCCCCAGCAGGCTACCTCAACCACAGGATACCTCAGTTACCTCCTCTGTAAAAAGGGGCTAATAACAGAACATGCCTTAGAGGATCATATTCAAGAATGAATGGCTAATATGTGGAAAGTGGAACAGCATCTGGAACACTGGAAGTATTCCATGAGTGGCACCCAGCGCCCTTCTCACCACAGGAGAGGAAACCAAGGCACGAGCGGAGGGAGTAGGGTATGAGGTAATTGTTGTTTTTGTTTGCTTTGCATCCCTTGCTGTGGTTAATTATTCTTTCTACCCCTTCCAAGGGATTCTGGTGGGGCTAAAACTCAGTGTCCAATACCCTTGGAGCATGCAGCCTATAACAGAACCCTGTCTTCCTGGATAGAGTGATGCTCTAAAGTATGTGCAAACAGTAATCCAGGCCCATCAAAAACCTTTTCTGGGATTGATCTAAATTGAATATACTGAGGCAAGGAAGGGGAGGTCTTTTTCCTCTAGGCTTTCCAAACTGGCTAACGTAAGCCTAGAGTGATCTGTGACATGCCCTTACCGCCTCCCTCATAGGAAAGATTTTTGACAATGGGGCAGAATGGGATTGAGGGAAGCAAATGGAGAAAGGGAGAATCCTAAGGCTAGCCTTTGAACCCCTGGATCTATCCATACCTGAAGCCGAACCACTCCTTTCCTTGATGACTTACGAACTAGTCAATTCCCCTTGGGACACAAGACAGTTTGACCTATGTTTCTATTTGAAGGAGTCTTAGAGGACAGAGAGGTGAAGTGAGTTGGCAGTAAAATATTGGAGCTGGGAATCCAAAACCAGGTCTCACTGCTACCCAAGCTCAAACTTGATTGCCACTTCCTACCTGTGGGACCAGGGCAGATGCCTGCGATTCAGGATGGAGGGACCGAGCCAATGGGAAACGCTATGGGCTTGTACCACACAGGGGAACAGGGGCCTGAGCTCCCGAAAGCCTGACATGAGACTGAGCTTAGAGGGAAACCACTCAGCTCAACCCACGTAGGGACGATGTCTCACTTCAGGCTCCTAACCCCTCGAAGAGATTCAAGAGACAGGACAACAGGTCAATGGCATATTTATTTACAATCGGACCAAAAAAAGGCATACAGGCATCTTTTAATTAAAAATAATAATGATGATGATTAAAAAAGTCAGAAAAATTGATGATGTTTGAACCTTTTATGAGGAGTCCATTTCCTAATTCCCCCCACCCCCAAAAAAGAGAATCTCTTAGGGAAAAAATCCGAGATTTGAATGAACAAAAGCCTCCATTATCATTCTCTACTGCTTGGGTTCCTTTTTCTCCAACCTGATTCTTGGTGGACACCGTTTGGCGCTACGGAGTCACTGTGAGCAAGGTTGAGAAGTCCACTGGTTTGACTGGTGGAGCTGGTAGGGGCTGCTGGGAGAACCTGGAGTCGGGGTGCAGGGTGTCATGGGGGTGGGGTGTGTTCCGAGCTTAGCCAGCATCCTGAGCTTTGTCTTGTGGTGGGAGTCCCAAAGGGGCTGATGCAAGGGTGAGCGGCTGTTACTTAAACGCTAACCCCAGGGTGGGTTTGGCCACTTGCAACTTAAGAACAAATGTTTGGTTTGGGACATGCACAGGGTGCACAGGGGGTTGGGTGCTGACAGAGGAGCCAGGCTCGCAAAGCTAGCTCCCTCTTTCTAACTTGGCTCTTTGCCTATTCCTGGGAATCAGGGAAAGAGTGACAGAACTGACCTTCCATCTTCCTTCCCACAAGCAGGTGTCACCCAAGGAGGCAAGAATCAGACAGACGGGAGATGGAGGTGGAGGTGGAGGGGATGGGTCTGGCTGAAAGAGCTGAGCATGAGCACTGAGGCTGGGGAATGTCAGGGATAGAATGCCACCTAAAGGAGGGCATCTGAGGTCTCCCGGCCTTGTTCTGTGCTGGTAGGGAGAGTGGAGAGGGCCCGCCACCAGCACACTTCGCAAAGAGCAGCAACCCCCCGGGGAAAGAACTGGGGAGCAATCCTGAGGGGTGAGGACCCTTGTCCCAGACAGACACGTGGATGCTTGGCTTGACTCTGTAAATACTTGGCCCTGGATCCAGGGTTTCTTGGCACGCACAGTTCACTGCAAGTCTCTTCTCTGGTCCAGCAAACTCCCGCTGCTCTGAGCAGGGGTGAGTCCTGCTGTCCTGGGGCACTTGGCCCCAAGTACTTCCCGGGGTTTTTCTTGTAGCAATAAGACTTGGTCACCCTGGAGGCCTGGCTGGAAGCCCTGCTTTGGGCAGCCCTGGGAGGAGGCTGGGGGGAGAGAAGAGTGAGGGAGAGGGCTGGTAGAGGCTGGTCGGCACTGAGGATGCACGTCCGGGCTAGAGCTGGGCTTTGTCGCGGCATCAGAGGTGAGGATGGGCCGTGAGAGGCTCGGAAACCTCACCGAAGCCCCAGAAGGCCAGGCGTTTCCTCTTCCAGTTAGTTGTGGGGTGGCCAACAGCCTGAGGAACTGAGGTGGAGACAGTGACCAAACCCAGTGTCTTGGTGATTTATCCATCCTGGATCCTTACGTTAAAAAAACTAAGGAAAAAACCCCCAACCAAAAATAAACCTGAATAAACAGGTCTGAGAGTTCCTGCTGGAGGGAACTTTCATAGCACTGAAGAAAAAACAACCCACAAAAACCTCATCCCCCACAGAACTGGAATAAATTGATGAAGAAAAGTCCAAGATTTATCTACAGGCCCTCCCGCCCCCCACGCAGCCCCGGGATCCAGGAACACTGTGCCAGGAGTTACATTCCAAACGAGCAGGAGTTATTTTATTTGCGTGCCTGCAGTTCCCCACGCAGAGTGGCTTCCTGTCCGTGGACAGAGTGGGCCTGGCCATGGTCCACCCCCATCAGTCTATCTTCACAGCAGCGTAGATCTTGCGGACAAACATGTAGGCTGCATAGAAGCCAATGGTGCCCGTGAGAAGCCAGAAGGACAGGACCATGAGGGCCGTGTAGCCAAAGTACAGGAGAGAGGGGATGAACTCGACGATGTCCAGCTGGGCGAGTGGAGAGAGAAGAGAGGGGTGGACACTTAGTGTCAGCCTGCCATGGCCAACCTGGACACCGCTCCCCCCCACCCCCGACCTTCTCACTGATCTTGTGGTGAAGCGGAGGCCTGGTAGGGGAAGGGGCTTGCTCCGAGTTGGCAGGGAGGGGCAGGCGGAGCTCACAGCCATGGCGAGCCTTCATCGGCAGCAGGGCCCGGGTACCGCCTTGAGTGCTCATGACCACCATGGCAGGTTTTTAACCAGCCACAGATGGGGGACAGAGGGGTCCAACACCACCCATGGTTCCACAGCTAGGAAGCAGAAGGAGGTAGAATTTAAGCCTTGGGCTGGAGGGCTAGGGGTGTCCAAGGCCCAATTCCACTATCCTAGGCCATTTCTTGTGCAAGGGGGAGGGGGGGGTGGAGGGGAGGGGGGGCGGGCGGGTAGGGGTAGGAATCTTCCTGGAGAAGGGCCTGAGAGCTCATTGGGAGAGAGAGAGGAGCCAGGGCCAGCATGCCTTAGGAATGGCCACAGCTGTGTCACTTCTTCACCCTCCACAGTCCCCAGAACAGCATGGCAACAATCCTGGATGGCTGGAGCAGCAGCCGGGAGGTGGTGGGAGACAGGATTAAAGAGCAGGAGCCACCATTAAGCCAGCCTACAATCCTCTCCTCCTAAGAATGCTTCTGTCACTTTTGTTAACATCTCACAGGGAATTCATCTTGGAGCACGCTGGACTCTCCTGCAGAGTTTAGGGGCCTGGCAGGGATGCTAGAGACCTGTTTGTGGTGGTGTTTGCTGGGCTGGGCAGAGCTAATCTGGAACCTTGGTATCAAGACCTACTCGGCACACCAGGGCCTGAGTGGGGCCTGTGCTGGGGCTCATGGGCAGACACATGGTCACAAAATGCCAGGAGCTCGGAAAAAATCAATATATCCTCTAACTGGGGGGGTGAAGGCCATGTTTTCAGGCTTAACCCTCCCCAGGTTCATACTTTCTTGTGTCTGGAGATGGGGTGAGGGAGGTAGGGGACAGGACAGTGGTAGGTAAACCCAGTGGCAAAACCAGGAAAGGTACAAGGCAAATAGGCAAAGCTGGAAAGGCCCCTAGAATTCAGGCCGGCCAAGGCTGTCATTTTACAGACAGGATCTGGGGCTGGGGTGGAGGTTTTTAGAGCAGAGAAGAAAGACTGGGGCACAGGGAAGAAAAGGAGATCATGATATGACCCCGGGGGCAGTCTAGGAGGCCCTGTAGCTAGGTTTCATTTGCCCAACACTGTCTCCCATCTTCCATCTTCCCAGTGTTTTGGGGTACCCACTCCTTTACTCTGTGGCCCTGCTGGGGCTGTCAGTTTTAATACAGAACCTAAGCAGGTCGATCAGAGGACGCCATCCCATGGGACCTGAGGAGCAGAGGGATGGCATGTAACCCAGGCCAATGAGCATCTTCCCTGGGACTGGTAACTTGACGGTAGAGGAAAGATGTTCTTTTAGCTCTAGGGCTGCCACTGGCATCTTTCCACTTTGAGGCAAGATCCTGCATGCAGATTAAAGCCAAGAATACACACAGAGCTGAGGAATGGATGTGGAGCACCATTTGAAATGCTGGATCTAACCATGCCTGAAGCTAGAACTCCAGCTTCTCAAACTTCCCAAGTTATACCAGTTAATACATTCTCTTTTTGCTTAAGCCAGTTGGAAATGAGTTTTGGTCACTTTCCGCTCAAAAGTTCTGATGAATACAGGCTATAGAGGAGGGAAATTAGATTTCTTCTGGATGATTCCAGGAATAAGAGGATGGCCTGAAGATGGAAGTTACAGGGTGATGGATTCCAGTGTGAATCAAGGAAGACTTTGATAATGACAGGAGCTAACCAAAGAGACTGAGAATGCCAGGAGGGAATGTCTTCTGTCACTGGAGGTGCTAGAGCAGGGGTCAGCAAGCTTTTTCTTCAAAAGCCAGATAATACATAGTTTAGGTTTTGCAGGCCATGTGGCCTCTGTCACAACTACTCAACACTGCCACTATAGTGTGAAAGCAGCCATAGACAATATGTAAGTGAACGAGCATGGCTGTGTTCCAATAAAACTTTATTTACAGAAACAGGCTCACTGGCGCACGCACTATAGTTTGCTGACCCCTGAACTACATGGTTACTTGCTGGGATCTCTGGAAAAGAGGGGCACAGTCGGCAAACCGGAAGCAGGGGTGGAGTACCACAGGATGATCCACACAGTTCTTTCCAACCTGACGATTCGGCCAAAGGGCGTTCTAAGCCTCCACCAACTGACCTGTGACTCTGGTTTGGGAGGACACCCTGGTTGCAAGCAGAGAGGACTCTGCCTGTTTTTGGATTTTGGAGACCTGAGGCACAGCGGGTGAGACCGTCTTCGGTGGTAGCCTTGGAAGGGAGGGGTCCACCACAGTGAGCCCAAACTCCTCTCAGTGGCCCATCCATCTGGCTTATGTGTCATGCACAGACCTACCAAAACCACTGTGGCAAGTGGGGATCTGCTTGTGTCCTTCTATGCCACCAGTGGGTGAACCCGAGTTCCTAAATTTGGGCGCCAAAGCCTATTTCGGAATGTTCTGCTTTTATCCTCATTAACTCTTCTCATCTACATTCTTTGTTCTTTCACGTTCTTGCTCTTTCTTTCTTAGTTTGAGCTGAGTACCTCATTATCAGTGTCTCCAATTTCCTGTGAACAGTGCTGTAAGGTGAGAGATTTCCTTTAAGTTCTGCTTTGGCTGTATCTCACAGGTTTCGCGTGCAATATTGTGCCACTTATCCTGAAGGCTTTTGTCTCCCAAACACACACAACACAGATTCTCTCTGTCCTAAAAGGCAGCATGTTCTAGAACACAATGACTTTGGTTCTTCCCACTGTTGGTGGGAAAGACTCAGACACTTGGGTGTTCCCCCAGCACCCTCGTCTCCACCAGCCCTGAAAGGGCTGGGGGCTCCCTCACACAGGGCAGTACCTTGTTAACAAAATAAAAGATGGCATAGACAAGGACGTAGAACGCAGATCCCCCGGAGACTAGGAAATTCCTCCACCACCAGCGGTAATCCTGAGGAGGAAACAGAGCAGAGTTATTGTCTCTAGGCACAATCTCTCTTCCCCAAGTTTCATGGTTGCCTGAGGGGCTAAAGACCCTAGATAAGAACAGTAATATTTGGGGTAATGGGAATGTTTTCTATCTTGACTGTGATCATGGTTACACAACCATATGCATTTCTAAAAATTCACTGAACTGTAGACTAAAATCGGTGAACTTTATTCTGCATACGTGATACCTCAATTAAAAAAAAAAAAAAATCAACAAGGACCACAGCAAAAGAGCAGTAATAACAACAACTAACATTTCTTGAGCAAATGCTCGCTGCAGGCCAGACACCATTCTAAGTGTTATACATGAATCAGCTCATCTACTCCTTGTAGTAGCTGAGTCAGGCCCTCTGGCTATCCTGTCACATGATGAGGAACAGAAGACACAGAGAGGTTAACCAACTGCCCAACCAGGGCTTCTAATGGAGGAGCCAGGGATTCAGCTCAGGCTGTTTGTCCCAGAGCCCTTCCCAAGGGGCTCCACCAAGAGCTAGTCTGCAGAGGGAGGGAAGGTCGTCCCATCTGCCTCAGCTACTGGAGAAACCACTACTGGAGTGGACTCTGTACTGACAAATCTAAGTGTCCTTCTGTCAAGTCGCAGTGACTACTCCATGTGACTATGCTGTGAGGTAGGGATTCTTAAATCCAGTCTACAGCTGAATAAATGGGGGTTCAGCTAAGTGAAGTGATGTACTTGCCTAAGACCTCATAGCCAGAGGAGGGGGGCCCACATGGGAAACCCAGACAGCTTCATGACCCATCCAGTCCAGACCCAGCTTTCCTCACCCCCAACTCTTGGCCCCATTCCCCTCACCTCTGCACAGAGCTGGAAGTACACCATGACGATGCTGATTTGTGAACACGACACCACCAGGATGATGAAGACAAGGAACAGGAAGCCAAAAAGGTAATAGAACTGATTCTCCCAGATTGCCTGTGGACACATCACAGCTGGCCTTCAGCTAGCCTGCCTCCACCCAGCGACCCCTTCCCTTGGCACATACTGCCTGTTCTCGAAAAGCCACCCCTCAGTTCCAACTGGTACACCACCTGCCATCAGGACAGGAATGGAGACACCATCATGATACCATTGGGGCCTGTAGGCCTCGCATGTGGGTCTGACTGGCCCTTCCTCCCTGGAGCACAGGGGGAGCCAGGCTGTTCTCAGGGAGGAGCTGCAGCATGGCTGATCCTGCAATGGGTGGGCCCCAGCCTGAACTTGACAACTTGTGGAAAATAATGAATCCCACCCAAATCAAAATTACACAGCAGCCACCACCACTTACGGGCAGCCTACTGTGTGCCAGACAAGGTGCTACATGCTTTATGTGCATCTCCAGATATAAGCCTATGAAAGCGTGGCCATTCATGGATGAGGAAGTCAAGGCTCAGAGAGGCTGGCGATTGGCCCAGGGTCACACAAAAAGAGTAAGGTACCCCCTCTGGGGGGCAGCCAACCCATCTTCTGACCCTTTTCCTAGGCAGGGCTAGGTGGGCAAGGGGGTCCCAGCAGGGAGGGGCTGGACCATTCCAGAGCAGCAGATGCTGGGCCAGTATATCAGCAGGGAGGGGCTGGACCATTCCAGGGCAGCGGATGCTGGCCCAGTATAGATTTGGTGCAAGGCACTCTAGGTGCAGAGTGCCGAGCTGGCTCAGCCAGGTGCAGATGGCTCTAAAGAGCCCTTCTGCCAACTTCCATCTTGGCAAGCCTGGGCAGGAGTCACATCATCCCAACAGCTACTACTTAACAAGCTCTGCTTGAGTGCCAAGCCCTGTGCCTTTTATAGACATTGTCACATTCTAGCCTCACAACAATCCTGAGAATTAGGAATCCCTCCCCCCGCTTTCCTGAGAGTTCAGAGTATAATAGGTAAAAAGATGTATAGGGACCTGGAAATCAAATCAGATGCCATGATGTTAGTCATGGTGGAGACTGGCTGCCATATTACTGACACAGCTTCTATTTACTGAGCACTTCCCACACACCAGACCCCATATATGATGGCCTATCTCATTTATCCTTCCAAGCCATCTGAGGGGCAGGAGTGGACACCCTGAGAGCATAAATGGGCCTGTCTGAAATCTCTCAGGTGGTAAGAGGCAGAGCACATAAGTGGAGGGACAGGGACGAGGCTAGTAGGGGTGAAGGTTGTTGTGTGGAGGGGCGGGGGAGCACCCTACCAACCTCCTGGGGCTGACCTAGCCCCGGGGAGAAGCAGTACTCACACTGAAAATGAAGAAGAGCTCGATGAACATGGCGCCGAAGGGCAGGATCCCAGCCATGAGAATGCTACGGTAGAAGGGGAGGGTTAACACCGCTAGGAGAGCCGGGCCACTGGGCATCCAGGCTCCTCCCAGGTAGCATGAGGGATGGTGCTCACACAGGTGTGGTGGTTCTAATTCTCTGGCATACTTTTTGGACCATGACAGCCTCCTGAGAGAGAGGCAAGCTGGGCATCAATCTTCTCATTTTATAGATGGGGAAAGTGAGGTACAGAGAGGTGGCATAACTTGCCTAGATCTAAGTGATGGTCTTCCCCTGTCTCATCTGCACTTTTCCATCCCTCCCTTCCCTATCCTGGGGGTTCTTAGGCCAACACCAAGTCTGGTTACAACTTGGTCTCCTTAATGTGGCGTCGAGTTAAGCTTTCACGAAGTCTACGAGAGCCTGTTGGAGCTGCAAAATACCAGGCACAACATCCCAGGGGAGGGTACCCTGTTCCACGTTCTAAGGAAATGGCTCAGGGCAGTGTCCGCCTTGCCCACTCTAGAATTCCCTGGCCTCACCCCTGCCAGAGACTCACCCAACAAATCGGTTCATGTACCACCGCTGTTCGGGGATCTGCCGGGGAATCTGGTTGGTGCGCACAGGGTTGTCATATGGCTGCTTGCGGAAGCCGAAGTAGTAGCCCAGGTAGACAAGGGGCAGGGAGATCCCGAACCACATGCACAGCAGGGCCACCATGGTGGGGAAGGGTACCTGCGGGCACAGCACCGTGAGGCCCCACAAGGCCCTGAAGCTCAGGCCAGGGGCTATGCAGGGAGGAGGGGGACCTAATGGGTCCCATGGAAGGAAGGCCACCACAACGGAGAAGATCCTGCAGACACATCCCCCACAAGGCTCCTGGCCAGAACCTCCTGGGGCTGATCCAGCCCTGAGAAAACATGGAGGGCAGCTTGAGGACCTTAAAGAAGGAGCCCCGGCATCCCAGAGGGGCTCGTCATCCAGGGAGGAGGCAGGAAGCAAGAACATAATGGGGTGGTGAAGAGGTCAGGATGAAGAATTACATGGTATGTTAACCGAAGACAAAAGGGAAAAAACAAAAGTGCACAAATTGTGTGTTCCCAATTTTGTTAAAATGAAACACCGTAATACACTATGAAGCCAAAAAAGCAGGTTATAAAACTGTATGTATAGGACTCCATTTTAATAGAAACAGCCCAGTATTTATATGTATATGTGCCTACAGAGGCCTATGCTGAAAAGTTGACAGTACTTCATCAGATGGGATGTAGGGATTACAAGTGATTTTTCATTTTCTTCTTTATCCTGTTCTACACAGTATTATGTTGTTACAAGAGTCATGCAAACTGGAAGAAGTGAATTAATATATACAAAGTGTTGAGAACAGTACTTATTCCAATGTAAGCACAATATAAATGCCTGCTGTTACATTGCAATTTTAAAGTTATATCATTCTATTTTAAATATAGCTGAAAAGACTGCAAAAATATACTACAACTTCTCTGTACTTTCCAAAATTTCTACAATGAGTATTTATAATGAGCAGTTGGTAACTAACTGGGAGGAAAATGTTGAAAGAGAGAAGGAACACAGGTATAAAAGAGGAAGTGAGAGGATGAACATGACTCTGTCTTTCCTGAGGGCGGCTTCCCCAACCGCTGCAGAGAAGCCAGTCCACTGGCACCCCGGACTCCCAGCCTCACCCAAGGACCTCTGATCAATGGGCACCTGCAGGTGGAGGGGAGGTGGCTCTCGCCACTGAGGCCAGGATGGCAAATGCTTGCCCTCCCCCTCCACTGCAATCCTGCCACAGGATCAAAACCCACCCCCAGCTGAGTCTGCAATCCTACTCCATGAGTCCCGCACAAGTTACTACCAATGGCCGGGGCTGGCAGGGTCCCCGCTCTGAGGGCAGGACAACGCGCGGGGGCTGGTGTTGCGGGACAGCGACAGGCGGAGAGCCTTGTTTGGGATACTGACCTAATAAACCCACAGCAGGCAACGTTCCCTTGGCCGAGGCAACGGGAGATTCCCCAGCTGGCCCCTGGACTGTGGAAATCTCCCTTTAGAGAAGTGAGCTCTGGCCAGCTGTCTGCAAGAGCCCACAAGAAGGCCAGGGCTGGAGTATGGGCAGCCGGACGGGCAGGGCTGGGGAAACCCCAGCTCGTCCACAGCCCCTGGGACTGGGAACAGAATGCTGGGGACTCAGAAAAGGGAAGGGAACAGCAGGAAGTGACCTGTGGGAGTGGGACCGAGCATAGCCGTCCCTCCCTTACTTACTGCTCCTGATGAGTGCTTTCCCCAGATGAAGCAATTCAAAACGAAGCAGATGCCAAAAACCACACCAGGGTACAGTGTTGCCGTCTGGAAGCAAGGGAGACCAAGTTGGGGGTTGCAACTAGGGAGCTGCCACCCGTTCCAGTGGGGTCCCCAGACTAGAGGCCCTCAACCCTCCTTGTCCCTCAGGACTCAGCTCAAGGACCATTCCTTCCAGAAAACATTCCCTCATCTGCCCTTCCCCTGCCCTCATCCCAGTCTGTGAATATGTATTGTTACCTGGTCAATGTCTGCCTATCCCCGAGACTGGAAGCTCCTCAGGAGCTCCCCCTGCCTACTGAGCTGCTCCCAATCCTTAGAACACAGTAGCTGCTCAATACACATTTGCTGAACAGGAATGGCAGCTCCCTAGTTGCAATGAATGCAACTCCCTAGGAATGAATGAATAAAACTTTTATGAAACACCTATGTCTGGGCCTCACCCAAACAGCCTAGAGTGGTGGATAAGCTTTGAATCTTAGGGGTGGTGGGTGCTGGCCTCACAACACATCCTCTCACCTACTCCTCACTACATGCCTGCCTCGATGGAGAATTAGCATTACCCTTTTTAAAGAAGAGGGCACTGAGGCCCAGCAATGTTAAATACACACCCTGACTCCACACAGCTAAGGTGGATCAGAGGCTCAAACACAAGCAGTATAACCTGAGTCCCAGCTCCTGACCCACTGTGTTGTAGACCATCCACTCAGATCTCTTGGACTGGGGCCCAGGCAAATGGAACCAAAGCCCTGGGCCTACAGGAGCCTTCTTCACTGCTGTGGCCGCCCAAGCACCCAGGAGGGCCACTAACCACATTGCCTGAGGCCCCCTGCAATCCGGCACTCAACCTCCAATGCCAATTTCATCTTAGGCCCATAGCCCCACTTCCCCGCCCTCCACAACGGGTCACTGCCCTTGTGCTGTTATGCAGAGTTATCAACATCTCAGGGTATCTGCCTCCTGAGTGCTAATGCCGTGCCAAGGGCCTTCCATTCAGTTTGTCTATCCACACAACAACTCTGAGGGGTAGGTGCAACCATCCACCACCGGAGATGGGGAAAGAGAAAGGACAGAGCCAGGACTGGGAACTAGGAGATTCCAGAACCCCAGACCACCCTGCTGGCTGCTTCCGCCCATCTGAAACCTTCCTCAAGGCCCACTTCAAATGCCATTTCCTCCCTTGTTGCGTGTTCCTGCTTCATACCACTGTGCAGCAGGGCATTCATCTGCCCTCCTGGCCAAAATTTACAGAGTGGGCACTGTGCTAGGTACCAGGGGTGAGAACAGGAAGAAGATTCCAGCGAGGCAGACAGACCCGTAAATGGAGAACTAGCTCCATGGCACTATTTGTAGGCATGAGGCTCTGCCCAGGATCCTCTGGGGTGTCAAGGAGGACACAGAGGTCAGAATGGAGGAGGAGGCTTCTAGAGGGTGACACTGGAGCTAGACCTTATGGATGAGGTGGGAGGAGAGAGGGGGTGGTGTGGCCGGGCACAGGGGAAGACAGGCTGGAGAAGGGCAGATGAGTATCTGCACAGCTGTGGGCCGTAGCACATGCTCACCTGTGGGCAGAGGCAGAGCCCCAGGGAAGGGTCATCTCTTGCAGGGACACCAGGGGCGCCTGAGATAGTCAAGGGTCCGGGCGAGAGGTAAAGATATCCTAAACTTGGGCAAGAGTTCTAGAGCCAGAGCCAGAGCTGGAGCTGGGAGGGAATTCACAGACTGTCTGGCAGGAAAACTCTCAACACTTGTTGCCCGAGAGGAGGTGGGCAGGAGGGAGCAGGAGGCTGGGAAGCGACGCAACAGTCTGGCCTGGGGGTCCAGGTGAATGATGGTGCCCTCAGACGCAAGGCCCAGGTGCGGAGCAGAGAGGCTGGGTTTGGTGTGGGGCTGGCTGAGGGAGGTCCTGGGGGTGCTGTGGGAGGAAGAGCCGCACCAGGGGAGGTGGGGCTGGGTTCCACGCCTCCATAGGTCCTCAGTTCTTGGCACACCGTGGCCTGAGAAAAATACTCAATGCATCAAGAATTTAGGACCTTTCTTTGATCCTTCTAGAACAGTCCCCTTCACAGCTCTTCTACAGGGAGGGCTTAATTTGTACCAGGGGTGTCGCAGCTAGAGCTCCCCTGGGGCTTTTGACAGAGAGAGAGAGAGAGAGAGAGAGAGAGACAGACAGAGAGAGAGAGAGAGAGAGAGAGACAGACAGAGAGAGAGAGAGAG